CACTGTCGAGCGAAGAAACACTGCCCCTTCAGGTCTAATACTAGACGCGAATCGCTCGCTCGAGGCGACAGAATAAGCTGGATCGAGCCACCAGACACAAAATACAACCCTCGCTCGAAGCGACCCTAAGACTCGCTCGAGCGACCAACCCAAAACTAGACAGCAACACTTGGTTTACGAACCCAACCAACCTGAAACAAACCTGCCCCAACACATCCCATAACTCCAAAAGAGAAAATAAAGGACGAGCAACAACAATTATACACATGGACAGGAATAAAACAGAACCTACGTCCGGATACAGTAATCAAATGGAAAAATGCCGGGGTGTTCGCTATATGTTTTGGGCCTCGCTTAGAACTGTAACATGCTTGTTTGGGGCTTCACTTGGAATCTGTCTTCACATGTCATTGATCAAATAATGCATGCTTGATGTAGCCTACAAGTCCATTTCATGTGCTTAATTCTGCATTTCGGGGCCATTTCATAACATGGGTGCCATGTGTTTATGATTTAGGTTGTTTGGGTCATGTTTCGCTGCTGAAACTTGCATGTTTGCATATCACATTTCATGCCTTGCCATGTCTCGTTAGAGTGGCATTTCGTGCCTTAGTTCGTCCCTCGGTTTGCGTGCATGTGTGCACGCATTCCGAGTTGTCTCATTTCATCTCATGGCCTCCTATGTGAGTGTGGCTGAGGTCCACCATCATATTGGTGTAAGCCCATTGTGCATTGTGTATGCCATTTCATTTCATAGCATTGCGTATGCTAGGTTGTATGTTAGAGCATTGTGCATGCCATGTCACCTCGTGCTCGTGCATGTCATTTCATAGCATTGTGTATGCTAGGTTGTATCTTTTGTTGCATTTCATGCATATCATGCATATTGAATCGTGTTGGGGTAGGAGTTAGCCCGGGCACGGAAACGAGGTACGTTCGTACTCCGAGTGACGGAACGTGTCTCAATTCCAAGTCACGACACCCCAGATTATCCATGATGGAGTTAGGTCATTAGTTTTATTTTTCATGTGCATTCATTCTATATTTGAGTTGCACAATTCGACCCTCGGCCATCATGCATCGAGATGCGTGATTGGTGGCACGAGGATCGAGGCATGCATACATTTGTGAAATACATTGCTATGCCCATTTTCTGCTCTCTGTTCCAGCAAATCAAGAATCAGTGGTCTTCCGGAGCTTGGCGCGCTTTCCAAGAATAATTGTAAAACAGAGGCTAATTGGGCATCCCAGTGGATTTCCGCGCAAGGCAGCCCAGACTTGCACCATTACATCAAAGTCAAGGCAGTCCCTGGCTTGCATGCCAGTTTCTAGCTTTCTTAGTTAATTTGTAAATTAATTAGGAATTTGTTTATATTCGGACTGTATATTTGGACTGTACTATTCATTCGGACCCTCCGTGCGAGGGCATAATTGTAATAAGTGTGCGTGTGTGTGATGTATGTCTTCCAACCCCACGTCTTTCTTCCTTTTATTTACCTGCTTATGATGGTTAAGATTAGGCCATATTTCAATTAGCATACAGTATGATAGCATGTTTGCATTCATTCATTTGTCTTGCATGCACGGGCTCGGTGCATCATACTAACTGCATTGTATTTTCAATTCCAAGTTGAATACATGTTAGCTGTAGGATTTCATATGCCATGTCGAGAATAGCCGAGCCTGCTATAGTTGCACTTTTGCATGTGTTGCATTAGGCATTTCTGTATAATTAGGATCATGCATGGATTTTCTAATAAGCTTCTGTTTTTGGCTTGGAGTACTCGGTAAGTTTATGCTTTAGCATCCTTGCATGCGTGTGAGTGACTGCCATGATAAGCATGCTTACCATGAGGCTATATGCTTATGTGATATAACTGCCTGAATGCCTGTGGGTGAAGGTTGCGTTATTTGAATTGAAACAATTCATCAAATGTGTGTTTTAAGCCATTAGATAGTGGCAAAATCATGTTTTTCTAAGCCCACCCGAGGGTGGCAAATCCACGTCTTAGCCTACTTGCGGGTAGCACCATCAAACCATTTTCAAAATAAACAAACATGAAATGTTTTTTTCCAATTCAGACGATCCAGTCTATACTTATATACTGTGCGCATCACATAGTAAATCTAGGCTAATAACCGGAATAAGAACACACAATGTTTTCAAAACTTGATATCATGGTTAGTAGAGGCCGATCTTTGATCGGGCGCGCGGGGGTGTTCACGAAGTGACCTTCCCTAATCGTACCCAAGTTCCCGAGCCGAGGTGACTTTGGTGATGACGGACACGTGGCCTTAGGCAAACGAGTCAGGGTTTCCTAAATTTTCCCAAAAAAAATTATTTAGGTGGCGACTCTGTATCTGGCAAAGCAGTCCATGTTTGGCACTTCTTTCAAAATCTGTTTTCTCAAAACGATTTGCCGAATTTGGACTCTTTGGTTCAGATTAAGAACCGTGACAATTTTAGAGTCCTGAGCTGTAGTGACCCCAAATGAACAGAACGGGTGGACTCGTTCCTCCCGGGGCGTTCGGGGACGTCTACAAGGTCCCAAGATAAAGGATATACAATATTTTCATAATAGTTAACTCAACATTTCTACAGGGAAAATTTAACTCAGAGAAATTTCAATTTTCATAGATAAATTTCTCTGATTTCACAGACAAATTTTTCTAAATCGAGTGAAATTTCTCTGAGTCGGGCAAACTTTTTCTGAGTTGAATTTTTTTTTTTTTTTTATGAAAATGTTGAGAGACCTTAACTAATAAAAAAATATATTTTGGACATTTCCTACCATACAAGGTTAGAGAGGGATAATTGGCTATTTTTTCCAATTTTATTATTAGATAAAAAATGTTTAAGAATTTTATTTTTTTAAATAAAAAATTATGACAAAAACATATTTATAGTTTTTTAAATATAAAGAAAATTCATATTTTAAATAAATTTTAAAAAATAAGTTTATAATTTATCTTATAATTAATAATAATCCAAAAACATATTTATAATTTTTTAAATATCAAGAAAATTCATATTTTAAATAAATTTTAAAAAATAAGTTTATAATTTATCTTATAATTAATAATAATCATTTTCAACTTGTTTTGGTGGCAAAATCCAAATGTGCCCTAGAAATGGGTTTTACCCCCAAAACTAACAAAAAAAAATGGCTTCCTTTCTGGGGGTTTTGGGACCAAGACTGAAGCAGGCATCGCTGCTCTGGCTCCATGGTTTTAGAGACGCTTGCTGTCTCCACAGGGTCCTCATCTACTGTTTCAGGTTCTCTCTCTCTCTCTCTCTCTCTCTCTCTCTCTCAATTTTTGATTCCTTCATTCAATTTTTTTGACATTTATGTGTGTTGTATTTTTCTACGGAAGTTCTAAACAGCTTGCGATACGAACTGGGCAGTGTTTTCTCTTAAACGGCTTGATTTTCTTAGGAAGGTATATCTCTCATCATCCTTGTTTCTTGCTTACTGTATAATAATCATATGCATATGTATTTGTGTGTATCTATTCATTGCTTGAGAGTCCCACATTCCAACTCATGCTAGAATGTGCTTTGTGTGCAAGTTCTAAGTTTTTCCAGTTTTCTGGAGGTTAATCTTCCAAGGGTTCATATTTCTTGCTACATATCGTCAATTGATGTATTGATTCTTTTTTGTTGGATTTTGGACTGCAAACCTAATATCTTAAAATTACTTAAATCTCTATCACTTGCAGTATCTTGATCGTAAACTCGGTTGTCATTCCAACACTACAATGGATATTACCTGATCAATGCCCACATTCTGGTTCTCAAAAATTGTGCTCATCTGGTGGTATTTTAAAACTTTACTCATTCTTACGTCTTGGACTTCTACAACTCTTCTATGTGAGTAAACGCTTGATAATTAATTTTCCTTGTGCTCTCTTACGTAATTTTTATATTATAATATGTTGTGAGAAAATGTCTTTATACTAATTCAACTAATTGCCATTTAATTTAACTAATCTCTTTAGTGGGAAAATTGCATTCGATATGATAAAATTTTGGTTGTGTTATGAAGAGCTTACAAGTTAGGTAAAAGTATAAGCATGCACAAGAAGTCATGCAAATTCATAAGCATGTGGTGAAATGTGCTTTCTAGCTCCTTATATTGGAGGATACTTATTAGCCTATATTATTATTGTAAACTTGTCTTCTTGTAGTTTCCCTTAGGTTACATGTGGATTTGAAATGAATGGATCTGAATATAATAATTTTAAGGACTGTGGCTAATATTTAGGTTTAATAGCTTAGATATAGATTTCAACAAGATGCATAGATAGATTTGATTTGAGAGCAATGATTGCATTCAAATAATTAGGTGAATGTGTAGTTATTCCAAATTCATCTTAAGGAGGATTCTAGTTGTACAAAGATCCCCAATAATACGTCTCGTTACCACTACACTATTTTCTCCTTTAGATCTCTTAAGTATGAACAATTAACAAGAGCTAGGCCTCTTATATAACTTTAACCCCAAATATCTTTGTCTCAAGTCCATGTACTTAAAAGAAACCATGGTTTATGTTTCTATAAATATATATGTAGTTGTGTATATATACACATTTTCCTATATATATACATTTATGTAGATTTACTGTAGAGCATAGAAGGAATTGGTTGGCACTTCTAGAGTATTAGGTAACTGTTGTTCTAAAAGTTAGCACTAAAATGGGTAAATTGGTATTGGAAAAGAAAATAAAGAAATTAATGTGAAAGAATGCAGCATGAAATTTTAGCAGATGGGCTTCACCAACAAGAGAAATTTTAGATGCCAAAACCATGAGGATGTTGGTGGTTGGAAATTGGAATTTTAGTAGATCCTTCTGTTTTACATCCTGTTTTGTTATTCATTTAGAGTTGTGAATTTCTTCCTTTTCAATTTGATGAAAGATATTGGGAAGGCTAGAGTTGCTATAAAACTTAAGGCTAATATCATATTATTGACGTAGAACCAAGAGGAGCCTCGTGCACTAGGAATGCCCATTTATTACTTTCTTCTAGTTTTTTTTTTTTATCACTTGAAGAAAAGCATGTGATAGTTGAACAGAAATTGTTGAAATGATTTGAAAGTGCTCTATCATATTCCTTTTATTGTGTAATGTGTCAGCATTTTTGTATAATTTCTGTTTTTGCTTCCTCTATAGGAAATTTATTTTTAGCTATAAAAGTTCACTTTGACCGTTACTCATTATTTCATTTGATTAATCCTTACAGGTATTTTGGTTCTACCCATTGTATGTATTCAGCTTTATTCTAAGCAGTTTGTGGTATTGCCCTTTCCTTTTGCTTTACCCTTGTTACCCTTTTCATTATATTAGATCTATGCTAAAGCAAAGACAAGAAGGATGGTTTCTGCATCTGTATTGCTGTTTTTATTATGTGGTCCATTGTTGTATATATTTATTTATTTGAGCATGGTGACCTTGGCTAGTACTTGACCTTTTCCTTTTTGCCAGCTAATCTGTTGTGATATGTATATTTTTTTACTCAACAATATTCATCCACATAAAATCAAGTGTGTTTTTTATTTTTATTTTTATTTTTTAGCCAAGTTACATTTATCAGGACAACATTACTACTTTTCTCAGAAACATATGATTTAGTTATGCTTTCTTGGTGATTTAGCCACTTGCTGTACAAGTAATGTAAGACAAGTGTGAAGAAAAGTGTCCTACACGCATTTCTAGCAAAATTGTAGGAGAGGGTTGTAGAACTAATAATACAAATGTTTGAAGAATTAGATAACTACTTAAGGAGTTAAGCTATTTTAGGCCTTCTGATTCCATTGCATGCTATTTGACATCATGCAGTAGTGATGGAAATCATTTCCTCTATTTATGCAGAATGTTGGAATACTTGATAATTTTACATAATTTTATTCATATCTGCATCTTTTTATACCTCAATCCAGGTACAGTGACATTGCTAAATATGGTTTTCTTGTGATTGGAAAATATGGGCCTTCCTATACAGAAATGCCAATCCAACCAGAGCTATCGAGCTCTTCAAATGCAACTCAGATGGATAAGTGTACTGATATTGGGGGGTTAAATTTCCAACTTACTGTTTGATGGTTTCTGAATAGAGACACTACTGCTTTTTTGAGGCATTGTCTTTCAGAACAGAAATTATGTGTTGATTACATCTATGAGTATCAACTCCTGTAAAACATTTTTTCCCAGGGTCGTGATTGGAATAGCCGAACAGGTCTATTCAGTCCTCCTTTTGAGCTTTTTCTTCTTGGAGGTAAAACTGATCTTTGGTCCCCCCCCCCATCAGTTTATCTTTTTACTGCTTTTCTGTTTTAGAACATTCATTTTAAACTCATTGCGATTTATTTATAATTTTAAAGATAGTAAAGTTCGTTGAAGACTATATGCAGGTTTGTATTACAGGATTTATACCCTACTTTGGGAAGGCTCTGAATTTCTTACTTATTTCCTGGATGCATGCATACTACTGCTTTGAGTATGTGTTGAATTTGCTGATCCTGTTTTTTGTTTGTTTGTTTGCACCTGCTTTTAGCTATATAATTGCCAATTGACATTTATAACATCTCAGGTACAAATGGAATTTCTCTGGATTGAGTTTGGACAAAAGGCTTGACTTCTTTGAATCCAACTGGATATTTTTTGCTGGTTTTGGTATTTTCCTATTCACTGGGCATTTAAGTGGTGATTCTCAAAAACATGTTGGATTTATATATTTTCATGGAATTGATGGTCAGAATTTTAGACTACCCCCTCCCCCATTTAACCCCATGAGATAGGGGGAAAATAGGTTTAGAATCATGTTTCTCGACCATTTGTATGCTTTGGAAAATGATGTTCCCTGGTGATTTTGTAAGGTTATTACAAAACAAAAAGTACTTTTATTGGCCACTGGCCCCTCGAAGTTACCTATTTGCCTTATCATGCTTTTGTTCTTTATGAAGTGAATATGTGACGTGGACATTTGCTATGAGTATTCATTCCATATTGAATTTGATTAAATGTGTGTGATGCAGAAAGTTTCATTAGTAAGTGCGTACTCTTTCGTGCGAATTTGACTGTCACAATTTATTCAAGGTGTTATGGTAGTACATTGAATAGAGTTATATTTTCTTTAACTTCTCAGGAAACCCCTGCGTTCTGGCTATATTCCTTTTCTCTCCTCTTGTGAGCTACGGGGTCATGTCTATACTCTTTCCTCTGGTTTGTTAACTCTCTCTCCCTCTCTCTCTCTGTGTATATATATATTTTACTTTCTGTCTTAATGTCATTGGTTGACTTTTTGCTCCTGTTCTTGTTCCTGATCTTGCCATGTATATGCATTTTATTTGGATTGATCTTATACTTTTAATATTGCTTTTAAGTTGTTATGTTATACTAGAAGTTGGCTTGCTTTTTGAATAACAAGATGACGAAACTCCAGCATACTGGCCCTTTGAACTTTTGAAGGATTGATTGTAATTCATAACAAAGGCACTTGGTGAAGATTAGTTAACTTTGCCAAATGAATGTACTCTGCCGGAATGACTGTTTTTCCTCTTAAGATTTCCTAACACGACGATGGGACAATGAAAACACAAACTACATTCAGTCTTCTTGCAGGCAAATTATATTTTAGCTTAGACTGGAAGGTTGACTTTTCTAAGTTCCTATTTGCGCTGTATTCTCTTGGAACATCTTTTTTGTGTGAAACTTTGTATAGGGTATTTTCCCACATGTATGATGCTTGCCACTTGGCAGGCCACATCTTATTGTTTGTCATATTTCATAGCTGTATGTTCTAGCAGTTCTTCATGATCTCAAGCATGCTCTAACTTAGGCATTATATTTTAAAGGATTCTCTCTCTCTCTCTCTCATCCTTGCTTTTTTTGCATCATTATCTATTTTTTCATTTCTTGAGTTGCAACAGCTTTCTAGGCTTAGAGAAAGTTCGCATGTACGTTTATATGCTTGCATTGATGGTGGTAACAATTGTACTTTGTAGTTTGTTCTGACAGCAACAGGTTCAGATGCTGACAAACTCATTACTTCTCAAAGAAGCCAATGGAAGGGTGCAGGTTTGGGAAGGCTTCCAATATTTTTTTCTGCAAATTATTTCTTGTAAGCTACAGTTTCACCACTAATTCGTGTTGAAAATTTTAATTTAATGACATTTTTAATGTATTTAATCATTTTAATTTATAGGAATTTAAGGACTCATTTATTGTCTTTGCTATATTTAATTTGACAGAGATTTACTCAGAATATTTATCTCTGAAGTAGTGAGGATGTCTCGGCAGAGACAGTTTTATGGTTCCCTGTGCTTAAAATCACCACCAAAAAAAAAAAAAAAAAAAAAAAAAACCCCATAAAAATGAGGTCATTTAATGAAATCCTGATTTGGTTTTATTCTATACTATATTATAAATGTCAATGTTATTTTAAATGCTTAAAGAATTTCAATGCGCTCATTCAATTTCAAAAGCAAAATTTTACTTTATTTCTTGAGATTTGAAAGTATTTGTACTTATTGGCGTCTTTAAGTTTTTTGCTTTTTGGCAAGGTGAGGTTTTATCCAATATAGGATTTGGCAAGTAGGCTGGATTAATTTTATTCATCTAGTTTCTCACATGATCTAGTATAATATTTTCTGAAGCACAATGGCAAGGGATGTATGCAAATTATGCTAGCAATATAGATTTATTACTTCAAGTTATGCTTGACTATGTGATGAAACTTTGTATTGCTATTTTGATCTTCATTGTGATTTAGATGGTGGAGACTCAAAATTACATGTCTTTCTGAAGTTTTTTTTTTTTTTCTTCTAATTTTTTATTAATTTAATTTATATATTTTTTAAAATGCAAAGAGCCTCAATATGATGTTCGAAGGTTGTTTCAAATACTTTGGCAATAATACCAATGATTCAAAATATACTAATTCAACCTTCTGTGTTAGTGTTCAGGTTGTGAACTATTGTTATTTGGTATTAATGCTTCCTAGTTTCATTTTTGAGGATTGTAGAGTGAAAGAAAGCGTCTTCCAAGTAAACAATCCGTCATGGAGAGGGTTGTCATAGCAATTTTGCATCTACTTTAAACACAAACGTAATTCTATTTAAAATTCAGTCATCTATAACTATGAAGTCCAGTATTTGGAGGTAGTGCAGAGTATTAGGGAAGAGTATAATTCTAGGAATGGTTTCAATGAGATATTATGGACCAGTGTTGTGAAGGAAGCTAAGAGCTATAGGTTGATCTTTTGGTCCACTTACCCTTCAAGGAAGCACTTTGTGATTAGGGGGATGAGGAGAGGGTGATATGCTTAGATTTCATAGATGATGTTGTGCCAAAATGTTGCTCTACATTTTTGTGCATACATTTTATAATCTTCTTTGTATTGTTACTTTCAGCTGTTGAAAGTTTCTAGCTCTAGATATTTTGGAAATTCACTCTGATGCAAAGGCGTTGCTTGGCTTACGAAAAACTAGATTTTACAAATGTTATAGCAATTGACACATGTTGCTGAAATTCTGTTATACTAGAATCTTGTTATTATGAATCATTTTCTCCATAGCAATTGATACTTGTGGACAGAAAAATCCTATTCTAGTCGAAAAATGAAGGGGACATGGTGCTTTTTATTATTGAAGTCTTAACAAAGGCCACTAATGCTGCATCTTTTAATCCATCTTCTTTTTCTGTAGGATTCGAGTCTTGCCTTTCTTCCCCTTGAAACCTCGAGAACAAATTCATGATAACAAGGCATTCTGATTAGAAGCGACTAGTTGTGGCACACGAGTCATGATTGGTCAAATGTGTAAGTTGAATATGGAAACTTTTTGTACATAGCCAGTGCTTGAATGTCCTATTTTGAGACCGCTTTGCTTTTGGTTCACTGCTTCAATTCAAATTTTATTATACGTATTTTTCATTTATCCAGTATTTTATGGAGCAGATACTTCTTGTTAAATGATGTTCTGAGAAGTCCAGCGTGATGTTTATATGAAGTGCCGCGGCTCAAGGTGAAAGGAGGCAGCGAACCAGAGGTAACCATTCCGTATTTGTATCTGTATCTGTATCTATATCTGTATTTATCTTGTGTTTATAGAAAACAAAGTGTGATTAATTAGGTTCTTATGTACATTACAGACAAGAAACAATACAATGATCGGGTAAGAGAAATGATATGGAGGAAAATGTGTCTAGTAAAATCATAATTTTGTCATTTGGTGGATTGTGTGGCCCTTGTTGCTTAATCTTAGGTGTGACTCTCAACTCCATTGTTGGTCCCTTGTAATTGCTGGTTTTTTGGGCCTCATTGGAGCTGTGGAAGTTTCTTAGCTGTTTTTTGGAACTTTAGCCTGTTGTTTGTTTCTCAGTCCCTGGTTAGTAATTTTTGTTACCGGTTATGGGACTAGTTGGTTTCGAGTGTGTGTTCAAGAATGCTAGGGAGGATAGGAGAGAGATTGGGTGTCATCGTAGTTAGGGTTTGGTTTAGTGGAGGTGGTTGATGTGAGTGTGGTTGTGGTGGAGAGGAAAAATATTTCTCTAGCAAGGGTAAAGTTGCCATTTAGAAGTTTTTGACAGTTGACTTGCGAAAGGACCATTACAATATATGTATATATATATATATAAATAAAAGAAGACACTGATATTTCAGGGTCATGCCACTGTTATTTTAGATGAATAGAGATAGGATCATTGTAATTTATACTTTATTTTATTTTTTTAGAAGTTTTCGGGTCATGCCATTGTAATTTGTACTTTAGAAGTGATCTCTAGTGAAACTTACGATCACATGTTGGGAAAAGTGATCTCTAGTTGATTTTATATGCTTTTGAGAAGTGAGATTATAAATTTTGACATGTTAGGAAAAATGTTACCAGTGACTGCCAATTTTGTAGAAGGGCTCCGGAAAATGAGTTTGAAAATGGCTCCGGATTATCAACTCTTATTAATTTTTTTTAGGCAAAAATTTTCAAAAAAAAGTTTATCAAATTCAAAAAAGTTTAAAATATATTTTTTGGGTGATCTTTAATGAATTTTTTTCAAATTGTTTTTTACTTATTTTTTCAGTTTGTTTAGATGAGTATAGTTTTAGTGTAAAGCGTCATCTTGTTATGTGGTTACAAATATCTGATTTATTTAATTTTTTATGAATAATCTATTTGACTACTCTTATAATATGAATACTTCAAATAATTTGAAATAGTTCGAGGACAAAGGGCCCATCAAGTGGCATAGCAGGCACAACGTCGAACCCTTTTCATTGTGCCATTGTGCCTGTAATCTCACCTAATTTAGGTCTAGTTTTTTTTGAAGTCTTCGAGTTTATATAGTGAAAAAGCTATTATGAATTGTTATATTATTTTTGTTTTTTTTTGTTTACATTTTTTTTAATAAATATTTAAAAAATAACTAAAATAATTAATTTTCAAACGTGATTTTAATTCACAAAATAATTGGGCCATACATTGAAAACAGAAATGGGCTCAATAATTGTCACGCTCGTACCAGGAGTGCGGGTACACTATTACGACTCCATTAAATGGTGCACGTGAAGCTCGTGGGACAGTAAATTTATATTCCATATATACACGACCAGACAAGAAAGATCACAAGGCTCCTTACTATAGTAGATAAAAAATTAAATTAAAATTTTAAATCTTGTGATGTGATAATTAATTAAGATATTTAAGGTGATATTCTCTGATGTATTCTCTAATTATTAAATAATTATATCATTTATACATCATTGTAATTAGAAAATAGATTGCTATATCAATTTTTTATGTATATATATATATATATATGTGTGTGTGTGTGGCGAATTTGGGGCAGACATTGTTGTGCGGCTTTATGGGCTTATTTCGGAGTCCATTTTGATAATCCGAACTGTTCATATTTTAGAGTACATTGAGTAGAACATACTTGCAAAATATTAAGTTAATCGGGTATCATTAAGCCTTTCATCTACTCACATTTGTATCTTCAAAAATAAATGACGTGATTTAAAGTATTAAAATGAATACACATATGAATGGATGAAAGGGTTAATGATATCTGCACGTGAAGCTCGTGGGACAGTAAATTTATATTCCATATATACACGACCGGACAAGAAAGATCACAAGACTCCTTACTATAGTAGATAAAAAATTAAATTAAATTTTTAAATCTTGTGATGTGATAATTAATTAAGATATTTAAGGTGATATTCGTAGATGTATTCTCTAATTATTAAAGAATCATATCATTTATACATCATTGTAATTAGAAAATAGATTGCTATATCAATTTCTTATGTATATATGTGTGTGTGTGTGGCGAATTTGGGGCAGACATTGTTGTGCGGTCTTATGGGCTTATTTCAGAACCCATTCTGATAATCTGAACTGTTCACATTTTAAAGTACATTGAGTAGAACATACTTGCAAAATATTAAGTTAATCGGGTATCATTAAGCCTTTCATCTACTCACATTTGTATCTTCAAAAATAAATGACGTGATTTAAAGTATTAAAATGAACACACATATGAATGGATGAAAGGGTTAATGATATCCAATTAACTTGATATTTTACAAGTATGTTCTACTCGATATACTTTAAATTGTGAACGGTTTAAATTATCAAGACGAATTCTGAAATAAAGGCCGCACAACAGTGCTTGCTGTGCTGGGTGCACAGCAGGCATCCCAAATCCGTGTGTCGTTATTCATAAATAGTAATAATATATATATATTTGTTAACAATTATTATTTTATTTAATTGCTCCTAAATAATCTAAATATATTAATAGATCCATTGAAATGATTTGATTTGCAGTTATTTATTATAAATAATTTGCCTAATCCTACTAAAATACCAACCGTATCTCACTTGAATAAAATTAGTACACCAATACAAGTAGTGGCATGAAGAGTGGGAGATAGGTTTGAATCCAAGATGATTATGTTCATAGTTGCATATATAATATGAAAAAATTTACTTAGCCCACAAGTAAACTTGGATTTCATTTTCGCAGCTTGATTTGACCAGAGCACGACCCTTATTTGGTGTAGTAAGGGGGTCTTGAACCCAATCTCAATGTTGGCACATAATCTTACTACTTACAAACGGAATTGAGCATATAAATTATGCAGCTTGGCCAAAAAATAAGATCTCTTAAACACTAGAACTGATGAATATATTTTGCAAATTATTTTTTGCGTACTATCCCAAAACAATCGTTTTGACTATAGCTGGATTTGATAATGATAGTTCGTAGGCTTCTTTTGGGAGCATTAGTCAAAAGTCTATTTTTAACTCATTTTGGATTATATCATATTTCACATAAAACAGTCAAAAAAGTTTAAAAAATAAGTTTTTAACCATTTTTTCAAAACATCCCTTAGAGCTATTGTTAAAAAGTGAAGATCAACCAAAACAACAGTTTTCTAATATTTCTAAACACTTGTACATATTTTTGTTTAATTTTTATACATTTTTGCAAGCATATCAAATTTATTAACTCCTATCATAAAAAATATTATAAAAATTAACAAAGTTTATCACCAAAAAAATAAAATAAATAAATACTCACCAATATGACAAAAAATAGAATTTTGTAAATTTGACACAACCAATTAAAGTAATGTGATTAGAACAATTGGGATCAACATAAAAGTATATAAAATTTTGAAACTTGTAGGAGCACAACATTATTATTTTGGTTACAAAAAACACAGGACTTCTTTTTTTATTCTTTTTTTTTTTTTTTTTTAAATTTTTTATGGTGACGAAACACATTACCTTAGCTAGGGACAATTATAGAGATAGGACAAGACCTATGGGGAGGCCCATATAAGAAAGTCAAAAACTCACACAAAATAATAATGTGGGAGAATGATTGAGCAATGAAAACAAGAAAGCCATCTGAATTGACTGCCAGGGGAAAAAAAGAAAAAAAAGAAAAAAAGAAAAAAAAGAAATTACATCTTATCAGAAACAAAAAAAAATAAAAATAAAAAATGATAAATATTAATAATTAAAATCATGAATTTTTTTGTAATAATTTTTTAAAATCTGCCCTTAATGGTAATTTCCCAAAAAAAAAAAAAATAGTCAAGTCTTTGATACACATTCTATCTAATAAAATTAATAATTTTTTTTTTTATTTTACAACTAATAATGCAAAATAAACATACAATCAAAATTATATATTTTCATATCAATTGTAAAATAAATGTGGACAATAAAAAGACTAATCTAACTAAATAACTAATCATATACTAATTTCATAAATTGTTAATGTCTTCCCTATTATCTCTCACCTGCAATTTTATATTAGGGCAAATTACACAAATAGTCCCCATAGTTTGGAGCTTGTGTCACTTTGGTCTCTGACTTTTCAATTGTGACACATTTGACCCTGAATTTTGAATCTTGTTCTAAATAAGGACAATTGAATATATAATTAGATTTTTCAAGGGTAAAATTGTCAATTTGATAAAATATAAACTAATTTGACAAAAATAAATGTCAAACAAATATTTTTAAATTTTTAAAAATAATTTCTACCTACTAAAAATAAAATTATGTAAAATTGATAAATCTTTTAGACATTTATTTTTTTTTTACCAAATATTGTTGATTGTCAATAATATTTGTAGATTCAATAATCTGACATAAGGGCAAATTCGTCAATTTGACAAAATATAAACTAATTTGACAAAAATAATGTCAAAGAAATATTTTTAAATTTTAAAAAATTATTTCTACACACCAAAGATAAAATTATATAAAATTAATAAATTTTTTTGACATTTATTTTTATCAAATTAGTTTATATTTTATCAAATTGACGATTTTACCCTTGAAAAATCTAATAATATTTTCAATTGTCCTTATTTGGAACAAGATTCAAAATTCAGGGTCAAATGTGTCACAATTGAAAAGTCAAGAACCAAAGTGATACAAGTCCCAAACTATAGGGACTATTAGTGTAATTAACCCTTTATATTATTTAGTGCTAAGAATACATAAACTTTTCACATAATATGACACAGGCAAAACAAATGGTGAGTTCACATGTGGATTTTATTGCATGTGGGACTCATCATTTGTCTTAGATTTATGCCTCATTGATTATGTAAAAATAATTTGTGCATTTGGATTGATTCGAAATTATTTAGTGCTTCAAAAAAAAAAAAAAAAAAGTATGTGGCATTATTTTTAAAAAAATAACAATTAATTAATAATAAATAATATGAAAGAATACTCCCAAACCACTAATAACCTCGTCGCCTTAACACAAGGGACTATCATTAGCTCCTCTTTTTCAAAGCTATACTATTCTTCAACGTTTTTCCCCTCGTAATTCCAAAAAAATAAATAAATATAAAGTTTAAAAATATATATTTTTCTAATTTACGAACCACTAAATCTGAGACACAAGCAATATATATTTCCACATTTTTTCTTTTTTACAAGAGAAAATACTTTACATGATTTTTTATGAAAACAAAAAATGCAGTGCAATGTAAGGCCCCGTTTGTTTTGGGCTATAGGGAGGGTATTGGGACTAGTAATACTAAGGTATTACTAAAGTCCCTGTTTGTTTGCAGAGAAAGGGTTGGGACTATTAGTCCCTTGGTATTGCTAATACCCTTGGAAGGGGGATTGGTAAGGAGGAGGTAGAGATGGTATTAGAAAATAGTGAGGGGATTAGAAATTTTTTTATTTTTTATATATTGGGAATTTTTTTTTAAATATAATGTTTAAATTTACATTATTTTTGTACTTGATTTATAAAGAGTGACTAATATTTTGGGACAATGAAAAATGGAATAAGGGACTAATATTTTGGGACGGATGGAGTATATTTTTTTAAAATTAACTTCATTCACTTTTTCTTTTCACTTTACAAATATAAAATTCAAGCACAATCTAACAAGCAAGATAAACTGAGAAATGAATTTTACGGAGTTAAAAATTTACTAATTTACAATCCACAGAGAGAGAGAGAAAAAGAGAGAGAGCTGCTATTTTATTTTATTTTTGTATCTCAATGGAAAAATAGAGAAGATATATCTTGCAAAGTAGATATCATAAAATTATTTGATTCTCTCATTTTTTTTCCTTTTAATTGTTTACCACTTTGCTCACACAAGCAAACCAAATTATAATACTAAACACAACCCAATATTCCCCCTATACATTAATCTCTCTCCCCTTCTGGTCCCTTTGGACCAACCTAACAAACTGCATCTCAAGTCCACAACAATCTATAAATAATGCAAAAGAAAAAACAAAAACAAAACACATTAACAAAAAAAAAACAAAAATGACAACTAGATAATTTATCAAAAAAAAAAATGACAACTAGATAGATACCTCTCTTTATCTTGATCATCCATGAAATCAAGCTTCCAGCCACTGATTCAACTCATCACAAATTCCACTTCTAAATCTGCACCCCCCCAAAAAAAAAAAAAAAAAAAAAAACTATAAATAGATATCTGTTTTTTTTTAGCTCAACAAAAGAAAGGAATTTTATTGATGAAGTATGAAGAACTTGTGTTGGATACTTGACACTAGGCGACATATTGGATATTCACCAAACAAACATACTAATTCAAGCCTAACATGTAATTATATAGAAAACCCTATATAATGCATAAAATGCAAAGACACATTTTAATATTTTACTTTAAAAAAAAAAAAAAAAAAAGTATATAAAGAAAAATGGATATTTTTCTTGTCCTTGAACATAAGAACAAGATGGATGCGCACCCTATACTTGTACCTGAATGTATGTAACATTGACATAAATTTAAAGAATTTATTGTATGAGTTGAGATAAACTAACCAACTTTGATTTCATACTGTCATTGAGAAGAAGTATTTGGGTCATCCTCTCCACTATCAGCAGCTTGAGGCTGGTGTTGTTGATGATGATGCTCTAATGGATTATTTTGTTCAGAATTCATATTCAAGCTACCTCTTGAGTAAGCGTTGAGAGCAGCCAACATCCCCAAATTAGTCTCAGACATTCCCAACCCAAGATGTTGAGAAGGTTGTTGTTGCATCAACATTGAACCCAATTGCAGTGGATTGCCTCTGCCCCCTTGAAATTCAAGGTTACCCGGAATATTAAACCTCGGCATAAAATGTAACGGCGCTTGAAGCGTATTTCCACTAGTTGTTGTCGGTGCACTGGCAAAAGGCCACATCTGGGGCTGATCAGATGAACTAGCTCCAGATGTATTGGCAGACTGGTCATTGCCATTGCCACCGGCAGCAGCAGGAACCGGCAGCATCCAGAATGTGTTGCCGGTTCCAGTGCTAGGTGCCGGAGCAACTGCCCACATGGCAGTTGCTGCCATCATGTTAGTATATTGGAGCATACTAGATGATGGTCCTCCAGCTCCTTGTTGTTGTTGCTTATTTGATGGTGGTGAAGTTGAGCTGGCTGACACTTCCCCTTGTGGCCGTTGAGATTCTTCTTTAAACAAATCTTCTCTGAATCTTTTTCTCAAATAATTCTCCGCCGACTCGCCCCCACCACCACCACTAGGCATGGCGCGGGCAATCTGATCCGCTGTCAAAAACTGTGGATTTTGGTGGTGGTGAAACCCTAACATGTGAGAGAACCCTTCTTCATAGTGAGGGTGGTGGTGGTGGGCTAGGGTTAAGCCTCCGAGGGGAGCAGATTTCGATGAGGGTGCTGAAATGGTGGATCCGCCACTGCGGAGCGACACGTTCAGTGTGGAGAAATTAGCGGGGATGGTGCCGGTGCCGGTGGCGGAGATGATCGCCGGTTCCGCCTGCTGGAGAAGCCACTCGATGGTCTCGCCGTCGGACTTGTGCCCTAATTCTCTCGTCAATTGGAAAACCCTAGCCGCGCAAGCCGCCGGCATTCGGATGCGCCGCCCCCTTCCGTCGACCTTGGTGTGGCGGTCTTTCGTCGACTTCTTAGCAGGGTTCTTTAGCTCGTTGTTTTTCTTTGAAAGATCATCTACAGAGCGAGATCGGTCGAGGAGATGGATTTGTATTTCCGATCTGATTGTATACGAGAGTGGCGGAGGTTCCCTCCTCCGCCGCCCCCGGCAGTGGTGGTGATGCCAGATTGGATGGTGATGTTGCGGATGAATAGGGATTGATGAGATCTGGCATCAAAAGAAGAAGAAGAAGAAGAAGAAGAGTGGTTTTGGTGATGTGGTGGTGGTGGTTGTTGTTGGAGGTGGTGGTGGGGTTGTGAAATGGTGGCGGCGGCGGTGGTGGTGGTGGTGGTTTGTTTATTGCTATGAAAATCTGTTAGTTCCATATGTGTGGTTTGTATGAGGGGTGTGGGGTTTAGTTTTCTATAGGAATTTTGTTAGTGGGTTCAAAGCTGATACTTCCTTGGTACCCATTTTTTTTTTTCCTTTGTCCATTGATGATTGAGTTTGATCATCATCAACCCATCCCCCACTCTCTCTCCTTCTCCTCCTCCTTGGTTACTGTTAGAGAGAGAAAGTAAAGAGAGAGAAAAACACTTTAAAGTCTATTGCAGGTCTGTCTGACCTAACTTGGACTAGGAGTTTGTGGGGTTCTCTTTGGTTTCTGATTGACTGTTGTGCTTCTTTCTCTACCCTTTGAATTCTTAATGGAGAGAGAGAGAGAGAGAGCCATTCGTGGGGTATCTGGCATAGGAATGTTAAAAATAGCCTTTGTAAATTCTACTATAAGCCTAATGTTAGGAATATCAAATTTTTTATTAAATAAATGATCAAATACCTCACGTTTGTGGACCCCAATTAATAAGGTCCGTAATTTTGTGAACCCCACACCTATATGAGATATTTGGTCATTTATTTAGTAGAAAATTTGAAATTTTTAGCATTTTTCCTACTATAATTATGTTTTGAATCATGTAATTAGTCAAATTTAACACCTAATTTAATGATTAATAGTGTATTAAATTATGTACACAGAAATTTTGGAGACTGATAATCCGCGGAACCGAAAGTAGGGTTGTCTCTAATTTTTTTTATTTACCTATCTTAATACACTCTGAATTAATCTATTGAGGGTATTTGGAATAATCTAAATAAATATAATTTTTTACTTTTTATGAAAAAATATAAAATATGAATTGAGTTTAAAATGATATGGTAGAAATGTGATATGACTTAAATAAAATAATTATAATCTAAATAGAATAATGTGGTAAAATAACATATGAATGTAGAAATTAATAAGGACAAACACCCCATTGTATAGAAATCTCCAGATATCATATTATGAATGTATTGGTTGAAACAGAAGAGGATTGGTGTTAAAAAAAATAAAATAATACTATATATACTAATTGGTATATTAATTAGTATACTAACAAATGATGTGATATCATTTTAAATTTTTTAATTATTTATAATTTGTATAATGAGTGGGGTCAGTAATAATGTCATACCATATGTCGGTACACTAATTGAAATATTAATTGGTACATATAACATCGCCGAAAAAAATATTTTAAAAATTGCTTATGACACTAAAATATATGTGAATGAGATTTATTTTAAATATAACTCACAATATCAAATTAAAAAAACAAACAACAATAACAACAACAAACACATTATTATTTTTGAGACATTTTTCTAAATATATATATATATATATATATATATATATTTTTAATTTTTCTACTTGCAGAAGAGTTAATTACAGAACCCAACTCTATTACAAAAGTGTGAAACCTGCAAAAATACATATATATACGTATATTCATCTTATTGTATTCAATTTGTGCTTAATTTTTATGTTTGCAAGTTTATTTTGTATTTTTTTGAGATACCTTGTACGTAATAAGTCAAAAAAGTCAAAAATCTTCTTTTTAACATATTTTAAAGTCACATCACCTCTCACATGAAACAGTAAAACAAATTTTAAAAATTAAAAAATCAACTTTTATCTATATTTCATAATTTTTGCTAGGCGTTATGAGATCAGGATTACTATTCTACAGAAATCATGTGCATATAAGTAGGTAGCTCAGTGGTTGGTTGAATTATTGTGAAATGTAATGTAATTGTGGACATTTTTAAGTTTGATACATATTCACTAATGACAAGACTTAAACTTAATTAATAAATGTAATTTACGAATGATTGCTTATATCATATGGAAATTGTCTCGTCTTCGACCTTATAAAAAATAAAAAATAAAAAAACTTAATATATATTTTTGACTTTTTCACTATACACAATTCTATTAATTCTTTCTCCTTTTCCTTTCATTTCCATTTCCCTTTCCATTTCCCTTTCCAAATCCCCCAACCAAACACAGCGTTAATATATATTTTTGACTTTTTCACTATACACATTTTTATCAATTCTCTCACTAAATGCATTGTGCGTGTTGAGCTATAGTTGCAGACAAGGATCCGCAAAACACAGGTAAATTATAAAAACATTTTTTGAAATTTTATTAAAATATGAATCATTTTTTATAGTTTTAGAAATTACATTCCACCTCCTAATATTTTTAATTTCATAACAAATCACTCATTTTATTAATAAACCATCAAGTCAATTAACAATATTTAATAATATTATAAATATGTTTTAATTAATAATTTAGGTAATTTTATTATTGTATAGAAGAACAATTATGAATTTAATTTTTTTTAGTTAATCCTATTAAATAAAAAATTCTAATAAGAGTGTATTTGTAATTTTTTAAACCATATATGACAATCTGTACTTTAATCAAATTTTAATAGGTGTATTTTTAATTTACCCGGAGAACAAACAGCTCTTTGCTAGGAAAAAATATCAATAATAGAACAACAATGATTTAGAGCTCTAAATATTGGGCTCTAAATCCACCATTAGTGAGGTGAAAAAGAACCATAAAAAAAAAAAAAAAACCCACAACACACATTGTGGCAATCACTAGTAGTGGCTCTAATTAGAGCTCCCAAGCATTTTTGATAATATAATATACTTGGAAAAATTATTTGAAAAAGTACATTTATAAACCCCAGTTATTGCAGGTGTAGCATCCTATGACTTTTAATTTATATCATCAACTCAATTTCGAAGTAAATTTTGAATAGTAAAGCATTTTCAAAAGTATTAAGTTCCGCTACTAAGTTTTTCTATGATGAGATCGTACTATAATAATTCAATAGTCGTAGTTTAAAATAGAAGTAAACCTTCGTTGTTTTGAAACGTATAATTCTAAAAACTATGTTGTTTTAAAATGTATACTTCTAAAATTAGTTTTATAGTTTTATACTTACAATTGGATTATGAGTTTTTTTGTGATATGTCATGGCATGCTACACACGATATGAAATGACTTCTCCTTTGTAAGCTACCGCAATCTACCACAAATTTTCACATACATCATTGTCCTCTTTCTTTCAATTTTAGAGTGAATTTGTTTGATTGTGATTTCGTATGCTTATTATGATTTAAAAAATAGTAAATTTTTTTTAGAACATCCATAATTTTCATTTTTTTTTAAGCAAAAATTATTTTTGAAAATAATATATATATATATATATATATATTTTGATTTTGTCCTAAAAAAAAAAAAAAACACACACACACGCAACTAAATTTCTGGCCACTGGTTTTGTTGTAGTAAATATGGGAGTGAGTGAGTGAGTCCAGAATGGCAGATAGACAAGCATCTGATAAAGCATCTAATGCGCTAGGACAGCTCATCCCAACTTTTCTTTCTTTTTTCATTTTTTAATTTTTTGCTTTCCTTTTTGAGTTGTTGGCGAGTTGGGCACCCTTTAATTTTGATATTTAATTACTAGCCTTTTAAATTATAAACGCTAAAATTCTTTGAACACTCAGATATATCATAAATCTAATATCTTAAAATGTTACATACTCTCTCATTTTTATGGCATTAATGTGAGTCATATTATTTTGTGTCTAAGAGTGAGAAAATAGAATAAGAAATGAAATTATGTATGGTCTTAAGGCCTTGTTTGGCAAGTAGTGATTTTAACTAAAAAATAAAAAAATCAATAAAAAAAATCAAAAAATTAACAATTTATATCAAAAAGTTAAAGATTCATTCTTCTCTCTACTTTTTAAACATCTTTTCGTAAAAAATCAAAAAATCAAAAAATCATTCCAAATATACTTATTTTTTTACATTATCTTTTAACCAAAAAGTCAAAAAATTACAAAAAAAATCAAAAAATTACTAAAAGAACATGTTCCCAAACGAGGCCCTCTAAGAATAAATACTTATATTATGAGAGTAAAAAGAATAATGGGTGTGCAATTAGAAGGGAAATTCTATTTCCACACATCAAATTATCTCTGTGTACATCTTTTCTCAATCCACACATTTATTAATTTGGTTTTACTTCTTTATCTTAGTCCACATACTTTACATTCCAAATATACCCTCACCTTCTCTGTGCACATCCTCTCATTCCATCATTTCTCACTCCAAAAACCTTAATCCTAACTACACCAGCTACCAGCAACGGCGGCAACGACGACATCAACCACTGCCCTTTCCCAACTTTTAGCCATTCTTACACAGCCCCCCCATGTTGCCGTCACCTCCATCGCGATCTTTTTTCCCAAAAATCCCAACTCTCTCTCTCTCTCTCTCTCACACACGCACACACATAAGGTTCAGGTGTGATTAATGTTTTGTTTGAGGTTTTGGGGTTTGTTGATTTGATTGCAGTTAGAGAGTTTTCATTCCTTGGTTACTGGTGTTTGGTCAAATGATAGCAATCTGCAACTGGAGACTACTACACAATTCCGTAAATTGCTTTCAATAGGTATATTGTAACAACCCCGACCCATGATTAACGTTAATCCATGCTTAAATGTGTCTAACAAGTAATTAAGAAGAAATCCTGAATCAATTACTTGTGCATTGCATTGTTTGTATTTATATCTGTTAAACGTAGAAAGATCTGTTCATGTTTCTGTTTTGTTTGTGAATTGAAGGCCTTATCGACATCCGATTCAGAAATTAACTTGATATATGTGTTATTCGGGATTTATAGAAATTTGTAGTAGGTTTAATTGAAATTTGATTCGGAACGATTTAAATAGATTAATTTGATGCCCATGTGATTAACCTTAGTTAGCTATCATTAGGCAAGCCCATATAAGACACCTTTTTGCCTTCACTCATCCCTTTTTCCTTTATTCAACACACTCTTGAGCCTATACATACACACAAACGTGAGAGAGGGAGAACAATAAGGAGATTGAGCTCACCTAAGAGACTTGCTAAGAAGAGATAGAATTGAACCTAGAGTTTCAAGAATTAAGTCTCTAGCCCTTAATTTTGGGAAGTCTAGGCAAAGATTCAACCTTTATATTGTCTAAATATGATGTGTAAAACTTGAACTCTAAGGAATTAGGAAGGTTGATATAAAATTTGAGTTAAACTTAAAGAATTGTAACTCAAATCATGCATGCATGCATGTTTCATAGCATTTTGAAGTGTTTTCAAAGATTTTCTCTCATGCATGTTGTAATTCTAGCATGGTTTGAAGAATTCATAACATTTCTCACCATTGGACCTCCTTTGATCTTGTTTTGGGAGGTTGAAGTTTATAACAACTCATGCATGTTATGTTTCAAAGCTTTGAGTTTGAATTTTGTACCA